ACCACAAGTACCGTCGGCAGAAAACATAACTGTTGTCAGGCTATTCCCAAAGACGAGAAAATGAAGTGCTTTTAGGACCGAGACTTGTGCGTCTATATCCATGGAGTAGCCTCTATTAGCTGGGGTGGCAGGATCTGACTTTGGGCTTGGTCGCGAATGGACTAGCACATCCGCATATGAAGTTAGGGAACGTTGAATGAGGGTTGGTCGCCAAATAAGCGGTTGTGGTGTGAATGGCAGCCGGCCTGATCAAACTGCCAGACCTAACCCGATCACATACAACCACACTGCGGTTGCACGTAATCGCTTCATGCGTCACCTGGTGGGATTGAAACTGGAAACTGTGCTATAGGAGTTCAAAGGTTCCCCCAATCATGTTGAGTACTACTGAATGAAGAAAACCCTTTGCATTGCGTTTGCAAACCCTTTCAACAACCGCATCGGTTAGTACTGGGCACAATGCATCTTTATGTGTCTTTTGGTATTTACATACAGTTATGACAACTAGTTTGGAAATTCCATATCCATGATTCTACTGAAAAAATTCCCGCCTGTCAACAACGAGTATCTACAATTCAGTAATATGAAATCTTTTTTCTTGAATAATCATCTGGAACTTCTGTCTAAACTTAAAGATTGAAATTCTCTCTATTCTGTACATTCTACGCATCTGAAGATGACCTGGTTTGCCACTTTCGAAAGTTCACAATAGAGTTTGTTTTTGTTTCCCAAAGAACTTCTCTTACGGACTTAAAGTTCTTTAATATTTCCAGTTTTAAGGTCAGGACAGGGTGCGATTTTTAACCCAATTTCTCATTAAAATAACACAAAGTCGCGTTGTTGGAAAAGGCACACGTCTGTGTTTGAGAGAAGATTAGAAGTTTATATTGCATATAAAATTACGCTAGACGACTAGAGGGCTTCGAAATCTTGCATAGAAAGAAAGCACAAAGTCCAACAAAATGATTTCAGTGGGCGACTAATCTCGTCTGCCACGTCTGGAGTTCCGAATAAGTTGGGAGACTTAAAATTAAAAGGCATGGACAAGCAATATCATGAAGCGAAATGAATAGACCATGTTCACCCATCAGATGCAGTCGAGCTGACTAAAAACGATTAAGAGTACCAGAGGAAAGCAACCATATGCACAATGTCGCGGTGCAAATTACCCCTGCATCTCGGGACTAGACGTTGCAAACAGGCTACCATCTGCCAGGCTGCGAATCGGTGAAGTGAGAAGACGGAGAAGTAGTAGTAGAAGAAGAAGAAGAAGAAGAAGAAGAAGAAGAAGAAGAA